TAGGAAAGGGCAGTACAAGTTATACCGTTTTTATATAACAAGACAATACTCCCATTTGCTAAACTACATAAAATGTCATGGCATGCTGTCAGGGGCACTACACTGGGGAAGGTGCTGTCTTTCAGATAAAATATAAATCTGAGGTTGTGACCACTCACGGTCATTCGAGATCCCATGACATGTTTTACCAGGTTTTTGCAAAGTAAGTATCAGAGAGGTAGCCGTGTTAGTCTGGATCTGTAAAGCGGCAAAGAGTCCTGTGGCACCTTATAGACTAACAGACATATTGAGCATAAGTTTTCGTGGGTGAATACCCACTTCATCAGATGCAGCGGGTATTACCCACAAAAGCTTATGCTCCAATACGTCTGTTAGTCTTTTATGTGCCACAGGACTCTTTGCTGCTTTTGCAAAGTAAGGTACTACTAGTTCAAGTGATGGTATCAGAATCTAGTCCTAAATAACTAATATTCTGCCTGGAAATGTTATTATTTCTTCACCTTTTGGGCTAAAGTATTGTGTACTATTGCTGTTACACAGCTGCTATGTTTCATCCGATAGCAAGCAGCATTTTATGGAAGACTGAAGTGGATCCCTATGGATACATCTACAGTGCAAACCCCTCCCCCAGCAGTGAATCTCAAAGTCCAGATCAACTGGGCTCATATTACAGGACTTAAAATAGCAGTGTAGGTGTTCCTGCTCGGGCTGTGAGACTCACCTCCCTCTCCAGGTTTCAGAGCCCAAGCAGAAATATTTACACTTCTATTTTTAGCCCTGTAGCCCGATTCCAAGTCTGTTGACCTGGGCTCTGAGACTTGCTGCCACAGGTTGGTTTTTATTTCCTGCAGTATGGACATTACTGATAACAACATTGGATTGACAGATAATATGTAAATGTAAGGTATTAATTAGAGCTGGTTGAAAATTTTGTGATGGAAAGCTTTTCCCTTTGAAAATGCAGATTCATCTACATCTAAATGCTCCCCAGGAATGTCATAAATGCAATGAAATTTCATTTTGGGGAAAAAATATATCGGTGAGGTCAGAACAAGACTTTAGAGCTTCAGTTTGAAACAACTTTTGTTTTAATTATTTTACATAAGCTATAATATAAAATTAATACAATAAAATAAAAATAAAATGATTGAACAATGTTATCAAAACAGAATGTTTTGATTGACCAAACATTAACTTTTTACAGAAAATTTTGGTTTGCAGGAAGGTCACAGGAAGCCTGGCCCTTTAAGAGAAGCCAGGCTCAGCTTACCAGCTAGCCCCCAGCTGATGGCAATATGTAGGGCCCTACCAAATTCACGGCCATGAAAAATGCGTCATGCACTGTGAAATCTGGTCCCCCACCATGAAATCTGGTCTTTTGTGTGCTTTTACCCTATACTATACAGATTACAGATCAGTGTTTCTCGAATTGGGGGTCCTGACCCAAAAGGGAATTGCAGGGGGGAGGGTCGCAAGGTTATTTTAGGGATTTGAGATATTGTCACCCTTACTTCTGCGTTGCCTTCAGAGCTGGGTAGCTGGAGAACGGCAGCTGGTGGCTGGGCGCCCAGCTCTGAAGGCAGCACTCTGCCAGCAGCAGCACGGAAGTAAGGGTGGCAATACCATACCATGACAGCCTTACTGCTGCACCGTTTCTGCACAGCTCTGAAGGAACAGTACTGCAGCCACCCCTACAATAACTTTGCGACCCCCCCCCCACTCCTTTTTGGGTCCAGACCCCTACAATTACAACACTGTGAAATTTCAGATTTAAATAGATGAAATCATGAAATTTACAATTTTTAAAATCCTGTGACCGTGAAATTAACTGAAATGGATCCTGAATTGGGTAGGGCCCTAGTCAGTGGTGAGCTGGAGCTGGTTCGTACCTGTTTGCTGGAACCGGTTGTTAAATTTAGAAGCCCTTTTAGAACCGGTTGTTCCACGAGCACCCATGGAGTCGGCGCCTAAGGTGCCACTTTTGATGTGATCAGTGGGGGGAGCAGCGGCTCCCCCTACTCCCCCCCTGCTACGCTCCCCCACCCCTAGGAGCCAGAGGGCCCTGCCGGATGCTTCCTGGGAGCTGCCCCAGGTAAGCACAGCCGGGATTCCCCACTTTGCCCCCCAGCAGGTCCCTCTGGCTCTTGGGGTGGGGTGGGCCACGAGACCCTCCTGCCCAGTTCTGGGGCAGTCAGGGGACAGGGGAGTGGGGTGGATGGAGCATGGGTCCTGGGGGAGGCGTCAAGGAACGCAGGGGGTTGGATGGGGCAGGAGTCCCGGGGGGGCGGGGGTGGACAATGACCCACTCGTGGGGCGAGGAGGGAACCACTTGTTAAGATTTTGGCGGCTCATCACTGGCCCTAGTGATATGGCAACTTAATGATGAACAGTAATCCAACCGCTGGGAATCAGGAAGGACTACTTATATAGTAAAGTGGAGAATTCAATCTAGAGGAAAAGAAATTGCAGAGAAGGAAGGACTCTTTTGCCGGTTGGTATACTCACAAAGACCAGGGTCAGAGTCCTGTGGGGAAGGCCTTGAGGTAGGGCCAATAAAAGCACTTTTGTGGAGCCTGAGAGGGTGGAAGACTACTTAGTTCAGAGATGAAGGGGGAAGCCAGAGGCCTGAGAACCAAAAGGAGGCTGTGTTAAGTACAGGCTGCACGTAAGCAGTGCAAGTGAGCTTAGAGATAGGAAGTGGCCTAGGGAAACAGCACCACATCTGAAGAAGCAGACCTAGCTGCTTAATCAGGGACCCTGGGATAGAACTCAGAGCAGCTGGTGGAGCTGGGTTCCCATACCAGCCCCTGAGGAAGGAGAATGCAAGCCCAACTGCAGGAGCAGACAAGGTTCCTGTGGGGAGCCCCTGAGGGAAGGCCAGTGAGAACACTGCAGTAGAGCCCGAGGAGGGTGGAAGAGTTATTTGGAAGTTTCGCTGGGAACTTTTCTTACCTGGGAACTTTATATCACTTGGCCAGAAGGCCAGGCTACAGAAGACATGGTGGAGGGAGATGGCCTGCAGGAGGTGCCAGAGGCAAGGGCCCCTTGCACCATTGCACGCTGACAGAAGGGGGCGCGATGGGTGATGAGTATGCTATCTTACAAGGAAACGTCAACAATCTTTGGTTTTATTCTGACTTGGAGCAACAACAAATCCTGTAATCACAGTATTTCTTTCACAATAGACATTCCAGTTCCTGCACTTCTCAGTATTAATAGTGTCACCAAATAGGCTAATAAATCGGGTCAGTTATGCCTATGACCAGGTGTGACATAGCCTTTCCAGTAGATGGCAGTGGCATATCCACACAATCTCATACATTGTCCTGTGAGTGCCTCAATCAGCTTTGCTCTGTCATTCGTTTTTGAAATGTATTCACTGCAGGATGTAGGACTACACTCCTTTTTCTTTTTCAAATCAAATCCTTTCTTTCATCTTTGGCTCAAGTATATGGACAGTTTATTTCACTGTATCGTTTTACTTTGGTATTATCCCCCATCTTCTCTATGCATCCTTTTTTTTTGTAGGGTGTGGGAGGGGGAAAGAGGAGGAAATGAATTGGAAGAATTTTTTCTCCACCCAAATGTAATCTTTCTGATTCCTTCTTGATGAAGGACCAAACAAAAAGCAAGAATTATACTGTAATGAAGGGGTGGGCATGTGTACACCATGACTCTCTACTATGTAGAGTAAGAACTGGTCAGTTGCTAATGGAGTTTCTTCTTTACTGTAAGGTGGAGCTTAGCCTGTTGGAGTAGTTTGCTCTGTCACTGTGAAGTTCTGAGTGGCCAAGGCATACTGTAATATACCAGCTGGCCATGTGGATCTGTCCAGATGATATTAACTAATACACATTACAAAAAAAATTATTTATCTGTTTGTATTTAGCTCCAGCATGGGGAGAAACAATAAAATATGAGGGCCCTCCCACCCCAATCTCTCAGGCAGGGAGACAGAATTCCCTGCTTCTGAAGAAGTGGGTCTTTTACCCACAAAAGCTTATGCCCAAAGAAATCTGTTAGTCTTTAAGGTGCCACCAGGCTCCTTGTTGTTTTTGTGGATACAGACTAACACGGCTACTTCCTGATACTTCCTGCTTATGTAAGCCATGCCTGCTATCCGATCCCTGGGCAAGGGGATGAAGAGAGAACCCACCATCCCTTCAGCTGACTGCTTTTCCCCTCTCCGCCCATGAGAGGAGATCCCAGCGGTGCGGGGGGTGCATTGTGGGGCTGTGGAGCAGATCCTCTTTCCCTGGTGATAGATTTCAGAGTAGCAGCTCTGTTACTCTGTAGCCGCAAAAAGAAAAGGAGGACTTGTGGCACTTTAGCGACTAACAAATTTATCTGAGCATAAGTATTCCTGAGCTACAGCTCACTTCATCGGATGCAATCAGTGGAAAATAGGCTTGAATCTCCCTGGTGAGGTGGTCTCCTATCTCTCAGGAACTGGTCTCCCAGCCAGAGGGGAGGTGTCTAGTTCCCCTTCCTCTGGAACCGATGTCCCAGCCAGAGAGGAGGAAAGGGGGGAAGAGCTCAATGTCTCCCGTCCCCGAGGCTGGGGCACTCTCTCAGCAGGGGGGAGCGAGGCTCCCCAGCATCTGGGCTCCTGGCGGTGGGGAAGGAGAGGAGGTAGGAGCACGCCTCCTCCCTTTCCCCGGCGCTAGGTGCCCCGCCCCGGGGAGAGGCAGAAGCTGTCGCCGGAGCCCCGCCTCCTCTGCCCGTACATGGCCTGGCGGGGAGCCCCTGATTGACAGCCGGGTGGAGGCCGCGGAGCGGAGGCGAGCGCAGCCGCTGCCGCCGGGCTATGGCGGAGGAGGCTGCGGGGAGCAGAGGGGGGGAAACTTAGCCGGGGAGCCCAGCATAGGGCTGGGAGGAGCGCAGCAGGGAGCAGCCGCCGCTGAGGAGCGGGCGCTGGCCTGGCCGGCCTCAGTCCCCCTGGCGCTGGGCGGGCCCCGGGGGCGCGTTCTCCTGCGGCGGCGGGGGCGGCGAGGAGCATGAGCTGGGGGGAGCGGGGAGAGGCATGGCTGCAGCCTTGCCGTGGGGCGGCCAGCGGCCCCGCGCAACCAACATGGCTGCGGGTGCGAGGAGGCGCTCGGCGCTGAAGCCGCCTGGCCCCCGGCAGTCCCCTCCTTGCCCCACGGCCCCCAGCCTGTAGCCAGGGGGAGGGGAAGTGGTTCGAGCCGCGGCTCGGGACTAGGGGGTGGCAACTGCAAGGGGAGCGGCCGCCTTTATCCCCAGCGCCTGCCCCAGGCGGCGTCTGCCCGGCGGAGAGCGGGGAGGCGGCCGCGGGTAAGTTGGGCGGCCGGGCGGCGCTGCGGGTGTCAGCTATCGCGGGGGGAAGAAGAGCCACAGCCCCTGCCTGAGCCCGGATCTGTCCCGGGGGAGAGGAGCCTGCAGCCTCTGTCCGGCGCTCAGCCCCCGGAGCAGTCAGAGGCGGGGGAGACGCGGAGCTGCCCGGGGGGTGCCCGCTGGGGCAGGAAGGGGGAGGCGCCGCCGCAGCATCTCCCCGGGCGCACCGAGCCGCGGGTGGCTTTGCCCGCCTGCAGTGCGGGGGAGGGCAGCCCGGTGCTCCTCGGGGGGAGGACAAAGTTTGGCGGCTGGCTGCCCTGCCTCGCCCGCAGCGGCCATGGAGCCCAAGCACAAGGAGCTGCTCGCTCAGTGCCGCCAGAGCCTGGCCCACTCCATGACCGAGGTGGACAAAGTGATCGAGCTGCTGGAGGCTGCTGGCACCTTGAGCCCCCGCGACCTGCTCGAGCTGCAGGAAGCCGCCGGAGGGGGAACGGGGGTCGCCAGCAAGGCCGACCTGCTCATCCAGCTGCTGCTGGCCAAGGATCGGGATCATTTCCAAGACCTGCGGGTGGCCCTGGAGAAAACGCAGCCTCACCTGCTCTCGATCCTCTACCTGAACGGGGTGGCGGGGGCGCCGCCCGGGGAGACTGCCGGTGAGTGTCTGGTGGTAGGGGAGAGGGACCGGCATTGGCACCGGGGAGCGGTTGCTGCCTCGCTGCACTTCCGCGGGGCGAGGGAGCGGAGCTTCCCGCCTGTGTTGTGTGCCGGACGGTGCCCAGGTGTACTCTTCGGGGCCAGGGGGTAAGGGACTCGCTGCCTGTGTGCCTTTTGGGGTGGGGGTGTTTTCTGGATGCCCTCTTAGGGCTGGGGGAGGGGGTTGCTACCAAGATGACAATTGTTTTTTTTGGCTGGGGATAGGCGAATGGTTTGGGTGGAAACCGGTCTCTGTCTTTCACCATCCTGACTTTCTTAAGGCAGGAGGAAGAACATTCGGGATGAGATGTAGGCAGATGCCCAGTATTGGCTTAAAGAAAAGGAGTACTTGTGGCACCTTACAGACTAACCAATGTATTTGAGCATGAGCTTTCGTGAGCTGTAGCTTGACCTGCCAGCAGGTCAGTGGCAGAGCAGGAAATCAAACCCAAGTCTCCTGAAGCCCAGCCCAATTCTTGGCCACAAGGCCACACTGCTAATATTAAGAAATGGGAGAAGAAGGAGGTCTGCAAGGAGCACTTTTGGAGAGACCACTCTAAATTAAACGGTGAAAACACCTAAGCCTGGATACTTAAAGGTAGTTAGGATCAATGGGAGCTAAGTGCCTAAATACCTTTGAGTGTCTGGGTCCTAGCCTTTTATTGCTTATATTTTCTTCAGGCTTTAGGTTTGAGGGTTTATTTTGGTCTGCCTTTTTGCTCCCAACCTTGTTCCCCATCTTTAGGAAGATGTGCTGCTGCTTGTTCCCAAGTAACAGTAACAGCGTTAGCATTTACAGTACCTTGCATTACCTTCCCAAAGCAGTTATATAATTATTTCATTCATGCTTTCATTATTACTATTCCAGTCTCTGGAAACCAGGGATCAGTGAAGACTAAGCTGTTTCCATAGTGTTGTTTTGTACACTGTCTGTTGTTTGTAAACTCCACTCAAGTTAATGTTGTTAAACAGTTAAAGTTTTGTGACTAGTTGCAGCTGTGAAATTGTTTCTGTTGCAGATTGATTGAACTGTGTTGGCCTAATAAAACATGGAGATTTTTTTGTATTTACCTGTTTGAAGAGAATGGCAAATGTTTTAACTAGTGGTCCTATTTGAATACAGATTAGTTTGGGTCTATATTATAGTAACTTGTATTTGTTGGGAGAGAGGAGAGAGAAAACTTGTTCAGCCAGATGGAGATGAGAATTTTGAGAGTAAACTTCCTAGTTTATCAAAAAGAAAAGGAGTATTTGTGGCACCTTAGAGACTAACCAATTTATTTGAGAATAAGCTTTCGTGAGCTACAGCTCACTTCATCGGATGCATACTGTGGAAAGTGTAGAAGATCTTTTTATACACACAAAGCATGAAAAAATGGGTGTTTACCACTTCAAAAGGTTTTCTCTCCCCCCACCCCACTCTCCTGCTCACTCTCCTTATAATGTGTATGATAATCAAGGTGGGCCATTTCCAGCACAAATCCAGGGTTTAACAAGAATGTCTGGGGGGGGGACAAGGGGAAATAGGTTACCTTGCATAATGACTTCGCCACTCCCAGTCTCTATTCAAGCCTAAGTTAATTGTATCCAATTTGCAAATGAATTCCAATTCAACAGTCTCTCACTGGAGTCTGGTTTTGAAGTTTTTTGTTGTAATATCGCAACTTTCATGTCTGTAATCACATGACCAGAGAGATTGAAGTGTTCTCCGACTGGTTTATAAATGTTATAATTCTTGACATCTGATTTGTGTCCATTTATTCTTTTACGTAGAGACTGTCCAGTTTGACCAATGTACATGGCAGAGAGGCATTGCTGGCACATGATAGCATATATCACATTGGTGGATGTGCAGGTGAACGAGCCTCTGATAGTGTGGCTGATGTTATTAGGCCCTGTGATGGTGTCCCCTGAATAGATATGTGGGCACAGTTGGCAACAGGCTTTGTTGCAAGGATAGGTTCCTGGGTTAGTGGTTCTGTTGTGTGGTATGTGGTTGCTGGTGAGTATTTGCTTCAGGTTGGGGAGCTGTTATCAAAGCCACCAACAAAACCCAATTAGGACGATATCAGAGATTCTTTTTTTAAAAAAAAAAAAAAAAGAAAGAAAAGAAAAGGAGAAAAAAAAAGATGAAGTTGGCACTATTGAGGCCTTATGAATGCAGCTGTTCCTCCAAATTAACACTACTACAGTTTATCTAAATTTCAAGGCTGTATTGTAGATTGGCTTTAAAGAATATGCATGTGTTAGAGTAATGTGCTGGGGCTGTTTTATAATGGCTGTTGTTAACATTTGACAATAAGGAAAAAGCTTTTTTTATATCAGAGGTGGATTTTGCCAGGGTGACTTACCTGTTTACAGTGAGGAAACTAGCCGTGGGAGGTGCTTCCTGGCTCATGTAAACCATATGATTTTCTTAGGAAAATTGAAGCAAACTGTCTTCAAATCAGACTTTTAAACTTGCCTGTTTCACCTGGAAAATATTTATGGATGTGCTTTTATAATATACACAGTCATACTTTATAATATGCACCGCACTTTTATTTTAATTCCGTCAGCCATAAGAGTTTATAATAAACATAGAAAATGTGATTTCTTTTTTTAACATCACTATATATTATGTCTCCTCTAATAAATGTATATCATTGTTCACAGGAACAATGGACCTCAGGACTTATAATATTGTGTGGTCTGACATCAGTGGGAGTTGAGGGCACGCAGTGCTTTGCAGAAAAGGACCCATAATATTTTATATGATTAATGCTCAATATGGTCTTGTTTGGAAGCTGCATTTACTGAACTGATGGTACTGGACTATTGGAATTCCTTAGACTTGAGAACAAAATTTTAAAATGGAGTGGATGTATCCACTCTGTGTGATGATACTGTGTTTAATAAACTGAAAGTAAGATCTAGGAAGTGTCAATACTGAGATCCCAAGGGAGGGGCATTTGAAATTAATGGGCAAAATTAATTAGTTTCTTTCTACGTGAACTCATGAGGCTAATATTAGTAAGAATATACCCCTGGTACACCTAGTATGTAAAATTAGATTTTCAGGTTGACAGATACATTTCAAAACATTTTAGTTTTTGACAGTAAAGGCTTATACCTTTTTTGAATTAAAATTTTCATCTAATTGAAACTGACATGTTTTTACAAGTTAGTACAGAAGAGATTATTAAAGTAACTTTAACAGAGACAGTTGTAGTGTGTGTTAAAAGATTAAGGTCCTGATCCTGGAGTGTGCTTAACAGCGCATGCCTGAAGAGTTTTATTGGAGTCAGTGGGACTAACTCATGCATAAAGTTAAGCGCTTAGAAACATTTTTGCAGGATCAGGACCTAAATTTTCACTTGCATACTGAATATATTACAGAAAAGGAGTTAATCTTTAATAGCGGCCACCTGGCCACCTTTTTGCACTTCTGCTGCTGTGGATATTTTCTTGTTCTTATGTAGGTTGAGTTGCTGCACTGTTTGGGTAGCAAATACTGAAGGAGGCATGGTTTAAAGTGTACAAAATTTAAGAAGTAATTAGTGAAAACAGTTCTATTAATCCATTTTGTAAAATGCTAATATTTAAAAGTGAGGTAAAAACTAATTACTGGGCCTAAGCTAAGTGTTCATTTAATTTTAATCTAAGGCCTGAATTAGTTTTTGAAGTTACTATTTAGAGTTTGGTTAATGAAGGAATTTAGGACAAGCACAATTAAATTATAGGCTTGTTTGGCAGAGGCAAGATTTATCTGCAGTATATATCTTGAATGCTTGTTGGAGGTTAAAGTAATATGCAGCAGACTGCTTACATTATCAAATTTGGGGGGTCTATTTTTCTTTGTGAGGAGAGTGTCTTAAGCAAGTAAGGCATATCAATATTGATAGAAGTTCTAGACATATCTGTCCTACTCAGGGCCAGATTAACCTTTTGTGGGCCCCCATGAAGGCAATGGAGCATGGCATGGGGAGGTCAGTCCCCAGAGTGAGGGGCTAGCCAGGGATAATGGGGCATGGCATGGCAGGGGCGGCCCTGCTCCATCCACCCAGTACAAGGGTATTGTTTACAAACAGAACATTGACAGATGCATTGCGGCCCATCTGGCCCTGTGCTGCCAGCATGCCCCTTCCCCTTGGGGATGGAGGTCCCATGCCACACCACACAGCTGCCCGCCCCCCCAACCAACACTAACGCCCCTCCCCAACACCCTATGTCCATAGCCCTCTGGACCTGCTATGTGAAGTGCCCCCCGTGAGACCCTCTCCACAAATGCACAGCACCCCGCACTGCAGTACCCTGCCCAGCGCCCCCCTGCCCACAACCGCACCACAACAGCCCAGCACCCCACACAGAACCCCCACTCCCTGGTGCCCCAACACATACATCTTCCCTGCCCCTTCACAGCCCACTCCCCCATGCCATGCCTCCTGGCAACACTCACCAGCCCTGCTGGGAGGTGACTGTGTCTTCCAGCCTGAGCTAGCAGTGCAGCCAGGGCTGGTCCCGGGGGCGGGGCGGGGGGGAATTGCTCCGGCCCCTCGGGAGTGGCGCGATCTGCCAGGCCAGGGTCTGCCCCAGCCAGGTTCCCTCAGGACCCACTTGCCTGAAGGGGCGCAACTGAGGCCCCCACACTGTCCATCCCCCCAACTGGCCATGACTGTCCAGGCTTCTGCACCAGTCCCAGACAGCTCAGCTCCGGGGAGACCGGTGGGGCCCCACAGGTGGTGGGAAGCAGAGACTGCCTGGAGCGGGAGGTGCACTGGGTCCAGCCAGGGCCAGAGAGGAGCTGGCGGGTGGGGCCGGGGGTGGAGAAGAGCCCTTGACCTGCCTGTGGGTGGGCTGGGGGGAGCCAGCAGGCTGGTGGGATCTTAGGGCGCAGTGCAAGTGGAGCAGGCTGGGGCCACTTCTGAGCATGGGCCCAGTACCATGGTGCCACTGGCACCATTGTAAACCTGGCACTGGT